ACTCATACAAATATGCCCAACTGAGTTTTTTTCTCTTTTTAGAGACAGGGTCTCCCTCCGTCATCCAGGATGGCATGCAGTGGCACCATCACAGCTCACTACAACCTCAAACTCCTGGGCTCAAGTGATCCTCCCACCTCAGCCTCCCAGTAGATGAGACTACAGGCCCATGCCCACCTCTCCCAGCTCCAACTGCATTTTGACAAAGATACAAAGGCAATTCAATGAAGGAATGACAGCCTTTTCAAGGAATGGTGCTGAAGTAACTGGATATTCATAGACACATGTATAAACACACACACAATTTTGACCTAAATCTCAGCTTCATAAACTGGATCATGTAAAACCACAAAACTATTAGGGAAAAAAGGCACAAGAGAAAAATCTTCAGGATCTAGGGCTAGGCAAAGAGTTCCTAGATTTGACAACAAAAAGAATGATCCATAAACATATAAACTGAGAAACTGGACTTTAACAAATTTAAAACTTTTGCTCTGCAAAAGACCCTATCAAGGGGATGAAAAGACAAGCTACAGATTAACCACATACCCAACAAAGGACCAGTATTTAGAATATATAAAGAAGTCTTAAAAGTTAATAGCAAAAAGGACAAACAATCCCATTGGAAAATGAACAAAAGATAGTTCCATGAAGAAAACATACAGATGACAATGCACTTTAAATGCACTTTAAAATCACAACGCGATATCCCTACACACCTATCAGAATGGCTAAATGGTGACAGGCCAGGCATGGTGGTTCATGCCTATAATCCCGGCACTTTGAGATGTTCCAGCCATGCTAGAACATTTTACAAAACAGCTCACCAGTTTTGCAATTATCACACAACCCAGTAACTGTACTTCTGGGCATATATCCCAGAGAAATAAAGACTCTGTTCACACAAAAACCCATATACAAAAGCTTACAGCAGCTTTATTCACAATAGCCAAAAACTAGAAACAACCAGATGTTCAACAGGTAAATGGTTAAAAGATCCATAAAAGCACATTCATACCATGGAATACTACTTAGCTATGAAAAGGGAGTAATTACTGATACATGCAACAACCTGGATTAATCACCAGGGAATTATGCTGAGTGAATAAAGCCAATTCCAAAAGACACTCCATTTACAAAACATTCTTAAAATGGCAAAATTACAGAAATGAACAAATTAGTAATTGTCAGAGTTTAAGGAGGGGGTGGAGGTAGAAGGGTAGTAGGTGTGGCTACAAAAAAACATAAGGAAATCTTGTGACCATGGAAATTTTCTGTATCTTGACTGTTTCAATGTCACTATTATGGGTCTGAAAATTGTACTATAGCTTTACAAAATGATACCACTGGGAGCAACCAGGTAATTGAGGACTAAACGAGGACACACATATATAAACGTAAACAGTTATCCCTGCCCTTAAACACCATACACTCAAGAGGCATAAAACAACAGTGAATAACTTCATCAAGGAGAAAGGCCTTGAGCAAATCTATGAAAAACAGGTAGCACTTCCACAAGCAGAGGTGGAGAAGGGGACATCTTGGGAAGGAAAAGAAATCACATAAAAAGGTACAGAACCAGAAATAAGCAACGTACCTATGAAGAAAGAGGCATGTGTCGGGGGTTGTGAAACAATATAAAAATGGGATAAGAAATGTGGAGGGTAATTCTGAAGGGTCCCCAAAAGTCAGGTGCAGGAGTTTAAATGTTACATACCCAGAGAAGCCCTCCTCCCCAACCCAGCCAACCTGAAGTTCCCCCTACCTACAATCTCTCCAGCATCCTTTACTTCTGTGTAGCACTAATCATGAATTGTATCTATGTACTTATTTGCATGTTTATTTAATGCTGTCCATCCCTCAGTTATCTTGAGACTACAGCACTGGGAGTGGCACACATTAATAGCTCCATACAGGGGTCCCCAACCCCCAGGCCATGAATCACTACCAGTCTGTGGCCTGTTAGCAACCTGGCCACACAGCAGGAGGTGAGCAGTGGGTGAGTGAGCATTATTGCCTGAGCTCCCCCTCCTTCCTGTCAGATCACCAGCGGCATTAAATTCTCATAGTGCAACCACAACTGTGAATTGTACATATGAGGGATCTAGGTTGCACAAGCCTTATGAGAATCTAATGCCTGACGATCTGAGGTGGAATAGTTTCATCCTGAAACCATTCCCCTGGCCCCCAACCTGGTCCATGGAAAAACTGTCTTCCACGAAACTGGTTCCTGGTGCCCGAGAGATTGGGGACCGCTGAGTCAATAAATACTAATTGAATAAATGAACAAACAGTAAGTATTCACTCCTAACTCTCTTCTACGAAGTTGCCATACTCCTCTTCCTCCATTATCTGTCACTCCCTTTGCCTTGGTCCCTCTTTGCCTAACTGCCTCTTTTAACTGATCTCTCCTCTTTCCTTCCGCCTCTACCTCAGTCCAGCTCTTAACCCATCAAAAAATAAAACTTGATATATAACTGCATTGGTATAACACTCTTCTGAATCTCAACCAATTAGGAACTGTATCCAAGAAATCCGTTACTGAAAACAAAGTACCGAAGTTGTATCTTACATAAGCATGACAGATGTATGTATTACATAAATAAATAAGTAAAAGCAAAAACAGAGTCAACCTGATTGTGACCTTTCATGACAATGAGTATGGAAAGCTGTCCATCAAAGAAAGCCAGGACAGTATTCCTCAAAACCACCACCATTATGGAAAACCAGACAAGACAGAAACTGTCACAAACCAAATATTAAAGAAACATGCTGTCTAAATGCAAAGTAGTACACTGGTTTGGATTCTGGAACAGAAAGAAGGTATTAATGGAAAAACTGGTGAAATCCAAATAATGTCTGGAACTTAGCTAACTAAAAAAATACAAAATTTTTAAAAAACTATATGAAGCACTAACGTATGATTCAGATTCAAAATTATTATTATATTATTAAAAAGAGGGATAGGGCATGCAAGTAAGCCAGGAGCAAAACTCCAGTCAGAGTAGCTGGAGCGTCCCACTGAAAAGTTACAAACAGATCTAGCTTCATTTTGACTCTGGTTCCATGCTCTCTCACCTGATGCCATGAGAATTACCTTGCCCATAACTGCTTGGGATTAACAACCAGTTTTGTTGTTGTTGGGTTTTCAGTTTTTTTTGAGACACGGTCTCGCTCTGTCACTCTGGAATAGCTAGGACTACAGACACATGCCACCACACCCAGCTAACAACCACGCTTAAGTATCCTAGCACACTCATTCGTTTATCCAACAAGCATTTATACCAAGTGCTGATTGCTTACCAGGCACTGTAAAGTCTCCAGGGACACAGGGCTGGAAAAGGAAGCCACAATCTCTGCTCTCATAAAGCTTAAACTCGAATGAGAAAGCCAGGCATTTAACAAGTATTTGCATAAATGGTGAGTGCTCCCAAGAGTTTTGCAGTCTGCTGCGTAAGAGGCACCAAACAAGCCAGCAGAACAGTCATTAAACCCAGTTATCACCAGCACGCTGAACAAAGGCTTCTCAGGTTTCAAAGTGCATACAAATAACGTGAAATCCTGGTAAAGCAGATACCGATTCAGTTGATGTGGACTGGGGCTTCACATTCTGCATTACTTGAGTCTGAGGTGACAGGGATGCTGCCTGGTACACCATCCACACTTGGAATAGCAGGACTCGGAGTACCATGGAAAGAAACATCCTCAAAGGATCATATAAAATGTAAATTCCATTAGGGCAACGACATTGTGTCTCCCTTATTCACCATATACCCAGAACTTAAAATTGTGCCTCATAGACAGATCGCATTCAGTAAATATTTACTGACAGAACAAATGGATGTATAATTTAGACCAGGGCTGTTCAATTGTAGCAGAGAACCACATTAAACTATGGAACACTTGAAATGTGGCTAGTGTGACTGAGAAGCTGAATTTTTAAAATTTAATTTTAATTTTAATAGTCACATGTGGATAGTAGCTCCCACGCCGGACAGTCCAGGTCTGGACACAGATGTGATGTAAAGAGGACAGGACTAACAAGGTCTAGGTTTGAATCCCAACTCTGCTGCTCAGCTTGTGACCTGAAAAGTTGCAACTTCTTAGGGCCTTCACTACTTCATCTGTGAAATGACAAGACCTCCTAACTCTCAGCGTTCTTGACATGAATTATTATAAAGCAATGTATTAAACATAAAATATGATCAAAGTGACATTCTCTGCCCTCCAGAAACAGTTCACAAAGGCTACTTTACCTATTGCCCACTTGACCAAAAAAAATGCCAAGTGAGTTTGGTTGACGGGTTGGTTAGCTTAGTGGCTTTGAGAAAGAGGACAAGGTCACAAATCTGGGGGTAAGGGAACCTCATCTAGCAAGGCTGACCAGAGAGAAGCAATGACAATGCAGATCATCCCAATTACTGGTAAATGTTTAAATGGTCATTGTATTGATAATGGGTGAGTAAATGACATCTCATTCATTCATTCTTCCAGGAAAAGCTGCCACATTACCTAAAGTCCGCTACTTCCCAACCACAAACATTTGGTAATTCAGGGCCGGGTCCTCCTCCGGGGCAGCGGGCCGGGCAGCCCCCTCCCCCGCTGCCGGCGTGTCCTCCCCTCCCCCGTGGCGCCGCGAGGGTCAGGCTGGCACCGCGGTTCCAAGTACCACACGGCCGAACCCAGAAGCCATATTTAGCTTTATTTTTGTCAATAAAACAAACTTCCGTCTTCTAAAGAAAAACGGTTCTAACTCAATGTCAAACTAGGACGGAAACTCGCTGCTCGCCAAAGCTGCCAACCAGAGACGCCGCGTGTCCAACGGCCCCGGGATCCCAGACCCGAACCCGCGCCGAGCGTGCCCGCGCCCGCCACAGCGCGGCCACAAAGGGACGGGACCGGCGGCCCCGCGACGGAGGGCCTCCCCTCCCGCACCATACTCCGACCCGCGCAGCCGCCTGCGCTCCGCCGGGACTGCCGGCCGCGGGCCGAACACTAACCTCGCTCGGCGCGCGACGGCGCGGCGGCGGCAGGCAGGCTCCTCCCGGGCGCGGCCGGTCGCGGGCGGCGTCCCGCGGGCCGCAGGCGCGGGCGCTACTCTCGGCCGCCGTCCGCCGCGCCGCCTCCTCGGCCACTGCCGGCGGTTCCCGGCGGGCGGGCGGGTCCGGCCGGGCCCGCCTCCGCCGCGCCCCCCGCTCCCGCGCCCCGGCTACGCGGGCTCGGCGCGCTACTCCGGGCTGCCCCCGCATGCCCCGCCGCCGCAGCTGCCGCTCACTTGCCTGCTCCGCGCGGCCGGCCCGGCCGCAGGGCGCCCGCAGGCCGCTCGGGCGCGGTCCCGCCTGCGCTTGGCGTGCTCCCGCGGCGCCGGCGGCCCGTGCGGCTGCGGGGAGGCGGGGCGCCGGCCCTCCACCGCGGATGGCGCGCCCCCTCCGCTGCGGCGAGCCCACCGCGGAGCCGCGGCACTCCCCTCGGGCTCGGGACTCCAGGGTCGGGCGCGGTGCCCCTCCCCGACCCCCAGCCCAGTCCCGGGCCCAGCTCACACAGCTACGGGCAGGGCCAGGCCAGGCCGAGAGGTGCCCCCGACCGTGGGTCGGGACAAAGAGGCTGCCGCAGCAAGTTAAAGACAACTCGGGCCGTTGCGCGTCAACCGGGTCACGGGGTGGGAGGAGATGGAGGAGCCCTCACAGCGGATCGGCCCCCGGGCCGAGCTCGGGGCCGCCCCAACCCGGTGGGCTGCCCGAGGCGGCCGCGAGCGCGGGAGCTGGAGCGCTGTCAGCCGCGCTGAGTCTGCGCCTGGCGACCACGATGCAGGAGGCCCGGGACTGAGGGAGGACTGCTGGAGCGGAGGCCCACCACCCGCACCACCGGGGCAGGCACCCGGGTCTCGGGGGCAACAACGCCCGGGCCCCTGCAGAACGGGGACTGTTTGGGGAAGTGGCTCCCGCGCAGTGCCTGGAGATGGGCCCTCCCACTGTGCCCCCTTGGGAAACACTGTTTGGTACAATTCCAATACCCAGCTATACCCTGCCCTGAAGATAGAAGACAAAACCCTGGCTCTGTCAGTCACGCGAGGCATAACCAACCATTCTTTTAATAAATTAATTCTCTACTTAAATAATTCAGAGGTTTGTGTTGTATTGCTTGCCAACCAAGAGCAGCAATAAGAGATTACTTAATATTTATAATATTTAAGTGGTCCCACTTTTAAACTTTTAAATTTATATTGCATCTCTTCACATAACCAAAGACTGCCCGGAAAAAAAAAAAAAAAAAAAAACCCTGAAGATTATCTCTGGAATTTTACTATCCTGTTTTTGCTTATCTACATCTTCCAAGTATTCTAAAATAAAAGTTAAAAGTTACTATTTTAAAAGTACTTATATAATATTTTGAAACAAAGTCAATCATGACTAGCCTGTTACTGTTCCACAAAGAAACTTCACTTTGGAATAAAGTTGTCATCATTAAAAAATACTCTATCTTGGGAGAAAAGATTTGCAAATCGTATGTCTGATAAAGGACTTGTAGCCAGAATGTTATGAAGAACTCTTACAATTCAGGAACAAGACTCATAATCTAATTTTAAATGGGCAAAACAACTGAATAGACATTTTACTAAAGATATATAAATGATCAACAATCACATAAAAAGATGTTCAACATCATTAGTTAACAGAGAAATGCAAATTAGAAGCACAACAAGAAAGTTCTTGACACCCACTACGATGGCTGTAGTACAAAAGACAGACAATAGTAGTGTTGGTGAAGAGATGGAGAAATCAGAACCCTCATACGTTGCCTATGGAAATGTAAAGTGGTGCAACCACTTTGGAAAACAGTTTTCCAGGTTTTTAAAAAAGTTACACATAAAGTATTCTATCACCCAACAATTCCACTCCCAGGTGTATGCCTGAGAGAATTGAAGATAAATTGTTACAGCAACTTGTACATGAATATTAATAACAGTGTTATGCATGATAGCCAAGAAGTAGAAACAGTCCAAATGTCCAGAAACTGCTGTGTGGATAGATAAAATGCAGTATATGCCATACGGTGGACTACTATTCAATAAAAGGAATACCTAAGTGGAAGAAGCCAGATGCAAAAGAGCCTGTATTGTAGGATCCATTTATAGCTGTGCCCTGGTCAATGATGGGTCATCTGTATGATGGTGGTCCCATAAGGTTATATGCAGCTGAAAAGTTACTATCGCCAAGTGAGGTAGCCTTCATAATGTTGTTGTGCAATGCATTACCTTTTCTGTGTTTAGACACACAAATACCATTGTGTTACAATTGCCTGCAGTATTCAATACAGTCCCATGCTGTACAGGTCTACAGGCTAGGAGCAATAGGCTATACCATCTAGTTTTGTGAGTATACGCTATGATATTCCCACAATGACAGAATTGCCTAACAATGCATTTCCCAAAACATACCCCTGTCATTAAGTGGCACATGACTATGTAAAATATCTAGAAAAGGCAAATCGATACAGATAATCAGTGGTCTAGACCTGGGGGTAGATATGGGGAATGACTGCAAAGGGGCACAAGAGATCTCTTTGCAGTGATATAAATGTTCTAAAATTGTATTGTGGTAATGGTTGTACTACTGTAGATTTACTAAAACTACCTGAACTGTGCACTTGAAATGTGAACTTTATGGTATGTGCAATTACCTCAATAAAGCAATTTTAAAAAAAGATAACTGTGTACCATTAAATAGCCCAGGAAAATAGTACCTTTTTAATCTGCTTATAACAAGTTCTTTGCAATGAAAACTACCTGTAAGACAAATGAAAAATTGTGTGCTGTTTCCACATAATTCTACCATGTAATAAAATGCACTTTTCACAACTGTTTTTATAACCAAGCACATTTACCCTTCATCAATCCAAGTCTACATCTATTCATTCCAAAATGTGTCTTCACTGTGCTAACAGAACAGAAAATGGGGAAGAAAAGGGTAAGCATACTTGAGAGCAGGAAAAAACTAGATGCTTTACAACAAAGTCAAGATTTGTCAAGAAGGAATAGTTGAAAGGGCATAGAGCAGGGAATCCAGAGTAAGAATGTTTTCTTTCCCAGTGTTAATCTTGTTTTTCTTTGGCTCTGCCCCAGGACTTATTGTTTGCCTCCAGTAATGCACGTGGTATGCCTGTGGGGTAAGGGACATTGCCTTTGGGCTGGATAATGGTAGGATTCAAGATTTGTTTCATGATTTTATGGATTTTTAAGGATTTTTCATGATTTCCTTGATCTTACCATAGAAGAAATTAACCCCTAGAAGAGGAATTAGTGGAGACCATTGAAATTGAACAATCCTACCTGAAGTAGCCTCTCTGCCCTTGCATCCCCTCACCACAGCCCCCGACTCCAGGAAGCACACCAGGGGAGCTACTCCTTGGAGGAGACTTATTAATTCAGGGCATTTTTTCTATCAGGCCCCCTTTAAAATGGTTGTCATCTAAATGATGCTAATACTCTTTCAGTTTATGAATAAGGCCAAGTTGTTTGTTCCCAACTATCTAGAAACCAAATGAATGGCATCTAGGGTGGATTTGGTTTAATGGAGAGATGTGGGAGGTTGCCTGAAGCAGGGTAAACTGCCCAGGAACAACTCACCCACATGGTAGGCAGGAAAGGGAGAAGAGTAGAGGTTGGTTATACAGAATTGTGTGTCAAGCACCCACTTGTGGGAAGGAATAGAAGAGAGTAATGGATGAGAGAGGGACAGACACAAACTAGCCCACACAGATGTCCAATGATATGAAGTACTTGGAATCATGAAGAATGTATAAGCACCATTATTTTATGATTTTTTTTTTACTCCTTGTTTTTGCTTTTGCCAAACAGAGGCCTGGCAGCTCTGTCTTGTGGCTGTAGCCCCACAAACATGCATGTGCTTCTTCCTCTCATAGTTCCCCTGCCCATAGACATCATCACCGTCACGACCACTCACTGTCATGAGGCCCAGGAACAAGAGAAGGCAAATTGGATGCAGGCACGAACCTTGGTCCATTCATCCATTGGGTGGTGATCATGTCATGTCAGCGAGGTGAAGGCAGCCCTGGGCAGATGAGGTAGCATCCCAGTCAGGATGTCATCAAAGCCTTGTGATGATCAGAGCAGTACATGTTAGGCATTTGTGGGAGATGGGGCAGGTAACAGTGACTAATAGTTGCAGTTTCTCCAAATGATTACACCTTATATAACTGTAGTATAATATCAAAACCAGGAAATTGATATTGGTGCAATGTGTGTGTGTAGCTCTATGCCATTTTACCACGAGTTGATTCCTGTAACTACCACCCGAATCAAGATACAGAACTGTTATGTTAATTTCCTATGGCCTAGGTTTGCTAACTGTGACCAAAGCGGAGAGGTTTCACAATGACTCAGTAGCCAATTATATATGTTCAAATTCATGGTTTATTGTGAGGTCTTCACACACCATCAATTATGTAATTAATATTTAACACATAGGCAGTCATCAAAGGTGGGTAATGAACCACAGTGATGGGCTTGGGAGACCAACGCACTGACAGACATGTCCAGCGGGTACAGAAGTCTTTCAGATGTCAGAAAGGGGTTGGGGGGGGTCACCACTTCTGCTTCTCTCAGGCAGAGCCTGCAGTAACAGTTGCCAAGTTGGGAGATGACCTCACAGTTCTCATGGGCAGAGCCTCTGAAGGCATCTAGGGTAAGGCCAGGTGCTTGCTGCTTTCAGGATCCTCTCGGATATGTCCACTGTCATTAACTCAGCCACTTTTCAATTTCTGTCAGTTCATTTCAGGTCACAGGTAGCACCAGGCAAGAGCAGATGTTATCACCTCAAGCCATTACACACACACACATTTAGCACTTTGAGGAGTAAACAACTTCACTATGGACTCAATACTACTTGATAGAAGTGACTCCATGTTGAGACATTAGGATCCCAAATCATTCTAATATATCAAGAAATATTTCATCATCACAGAGATCTCCTTTATAGCCACACCCTCTTCCCCA